AGGGTCCTCTACTTCTCTTACTTGCTTCTCAAAATCCTTTTTGAGCTCTTCCAAGGCCTGGGACTGATTCGTATTTTTCTTGGAGGCTTTGGATATAGGAGCTTTGACTTTGTTGTCTTCTTCTGGTTGTATGTTTTGATCTCCTTTGTCACCAAAGTAAGATTCTATGGTCTGACTTTTTTTTGCACTGTTTGCTCATGATCCCAGATAATTATTGGACTTTTTAACTCTTTGTTAAGGTAGGGATCTGCTTCCAGTGTGGAGAATGTACTGTCCCAAGCTTCAGGAGTTTTGTATAGCTGTTTTCAGAGATACTACTAGGGACCTATAAATTTTCAGTTCTTCCAAGGTGCTGTGATCAAAAGCGAGGTGTTTACTCCTTTCCTGGCCTGTGCTCTGGTCTATGACAGAAGACAAGCACTCTTTTCTGCCTTGGAATGGTAAGGAGGATTCTCTCTCCACAACCATCATGAGCTCCACCACGCCAGCCCTCCTCATTGTCCCAGGACCGCCACCCAGAATTGTGACCCAGATCCAAGCACGGGCAAAGCAAGAGAATCCTGCCTCAGTGCCAGCAAAGAGATCCCTACAGTCCTCCTCTTATCAGCCGCTTGATCACCCCTCTGTTGTCATCTGTGGACCAAGAGCTCTGGGAGCAGCTGCCGCTCCGGGGCTGCGCTGGGACTGGGACCAGACCAAGCTCCTCTCTCACTGCTGTCCAACAGACCTTTCCTACTGACCTTCTAAGTTGTCTTTGGCGTTTGTGGGTTGAGAAGTCTGGAAACCTCCGCAGCTTCTCATGATTCAGTCCCCTGAGGCCTGCTCCAGGTTTGCTGAGGCCCCAGTCTTTGCCTGTGCTCCTCTCCCAGCCCAGCACAGTAGACCTTTCTAATCAACCATCCAGGTTGTCTTGGGCTGGAAATTTGTTTCACTCTGTCTTTTTGTGGGTTCTGCTGCTCTAGAATTTGTTTAGAGCCATTTTTTACAGGTATTTGGAGGGGTTTGGGGGAGAGCTCAAGCAAGTCACTGCTTTTACTCTGCTGTCTTGGCTCTGCCCCCAATTTCAGGGTCTTACTTGTCATCCTCACATTCTGTGTGACTTTAGGCAAACCATGGAACCTGTTTTGATCTAGATGGTCTCTAAGACCCCTTTCAGCTTTATTTATGTGATTCTAATGTGCACAGATCCCAACAAGATAATCCACTCCTTGGTGTGAATGGAGAAGGAGATAATGAGGCAAATCAATGCAGTCAAGAGACTGTCAGTCAACAAGCATTTAGTAAATGCCTACTGTGTCCCAGGCATGTTGCTAAGCACTGGATATACAAAAAAGGGGAAAAAAAAACCTAGTCCCACTCCCCAAGGAGCTCACATTCTAATGGAGGAGGCCATATGTAAAAAACAAACAACTGTGTATTAACAAGACAGATACAGGATATATTAGAGATAATTAACATCAGGAAGGGACTTTTCAGACCTCTTTTTAATCATCAGTTTTGACAGCCTTCTCAGCCAAGCTTTGAGGCAGAGTTGCTGATAAAGCAGTTAAAACACTTGTCCTTCCCCTTCTCCTCAAATTTAAGTTTTTCAACTTCCTAGCAATCTGTGCCTTCAGTATTTAAGGTGAGGCAGGAAAACACAGAAAACATCCCTCTTCCCGGTAGGGAGATGACCCTCTTCCAGGGCTCTCATCCCCTTCAACAGAAGGCATCCCAACCCACTTCTAGCACCTGGCTCCCTGAAAGAGAAACCAAACCTGGAGCTTTGTACCCTCCCCCATCCCATCTCTGTCCCAGCACCCTACAGTGGCAAGAGCAGTAGATTTAGTTTGAGGACCTGGAGTGAAAAGAATCTACTTTTGTGGTCTTGGGCAGTCACCTTTCCTTTCTCTAGGTCTCTGTTTCCTCATCTCTAAATCAAATGGGTTAAATTAAATGATCTCTAAGACCTCCTCTTATTAAACCTTTAGGGTAATCCTCAGGGAATAGAGAATAGACCAAAGGTGGGCTGGTCATTTAGTGTTGGGGGAGGGGAAGGGATCAGGGTTGAGGTGCAGGTTGGGGTAGTGAAGAGTTAAAGACGGAGTGCTTATACACCAACGACAATTCAGTAACCTTTAAGCTAGGTGGCAATTTATTCTGCTGTTGATCTTCTATTTATTTGTTCATTGTTCATTTACTTATTACTTGTTCGTTTATACATGCCTCATCAACATTTCACCTCGGTGGGAAGCTGAGGGTCCACATCTGTGAGAATGATGGGTGATGACGATTACCTAGTATGTTCCAATGGAGCCAGGCTACCTGAGTTCAAATCCTGTCTCTGATGCTCATTAGCTATGTGACCATGGATAAGTCACAATCCCTCTGGTCTTCAGTCACCTCTGTAAAATGAGAGAGGTAGACCAGATGGCTTCTAAGATCTTTTCCAAATCTAGATCTAGGAACCTGCCTGCTGTCACCTTATCTCTGTCCTTTCCTATTAATCCCCTCACCCACCCAACCTTCTTTCTTCCTACCTTGCCGTCCTTGCCAATCACTCATCTCTTTCTCCCTGTAGAGGGTACAAGCATATTCGAGTGAAAGCTCATCTGTCCTTGATCTTCCTGTCATTAACCAATACCCCCTCTGCCCAGACTTCATGAAAATGAAAGCTGGGAGATGGAGACTCAAAGAAAAGGTAAGGGATAAGAAGCAAGATACATTCATCTAACTTAAGTACCTGCTGTGTTTGGGTGCCCATCAGTGGAGGGAGTTTCACAGAGTTCATGACCAGGGTCTTTTAGGGCAGGGAAAAAAGGGAAGGCAGGGTCGCTTTGCGAAATGTTATCTAAGCTCCTGGAATTTAAAATGATGCCACCAAGAAAAGGGCCTATTCCTGTGGTATCGTGGTAGAGAACCTGTCTCAAAGCCAGGAAGTCCTGCCTTTGACATATAGTAACTGTGTGATCCTGAGCAAACAACTTTCCAAGACTATGAATTCCAAAGAAAGTGCAAACCTGAATAGATAGAAGGATTTTCTACATTTGGGTGTTCCCTATACCAATGAAATTCATCCAGTCCCTATCCTGTAATATTCACCCTTAGTTAAACAGAGCCCGTGTAATGTTAAAATGGGGATTTCTTCTGGACTTCTTCCCCCTGACATGATGTGTTTCTGCTTTCAGTATGTACTCCCCCAACATCCAGCCTTGGGCCATAAGCAAATGTTTGCTTTCTCAAGATTTCTTCTGCCTCTTGAAAGCACCCATGGTTGGTCAGAAGGGGCCACACTGAGCTGCTATTTAGGCAGTCTCCTTTAATTCAGATCAACTCTCATTTCCCCTTCTTAAGTTGATCCAAAAGGAGGAGATCCAGTAATAAAAATCCTGGGACCCTTAGTCCTTCCTAATATCCAAATCGGAATGCCTTCCAGAGCCTTGGAGAACCTCAAGGAATAGAAAGACCTGACTTACAAATCTTGTGCCAGACATATTCTGTTCTGCCTGACGTAGTGATGTCCAGCCCTTTTGTCATAACAGCCCCTCGAGGACTTTTTTCAGCAGTTCTAGTAGATGGAGGCATAACCTTCCCCAGAGAGTTTCCTAAAGGTTACTTTCCAGCTGATGGAGCAGCTCTCCTGGTCTTCACTGATAATTTTGTGTGTGTGTCTGCCTCTTGGTCAGCACACATTCCACCCATTAGACTCACACTTCCTCATTCCAGCTTAGTCTAGGGGGAAGAGCTTGGGTTGAGAGTCGAGAGACCTGAGTTCCAAGCCTGGATCTTCTACCAACAAGTTGTGCAACTTAGAACAAATCATTTAGACTTTCAAGACCTTAGACGTCTAAGGCATTCTATAGTCTATTATTCTGGGAGCTAAATATTGCCTCTTGAACCTCTTCTATTCAGTCCCCATCCATGGATGGGAGTGGATACTGAACACAACTTGTCTTCCTTTGGATCAATGGCTTAATAACACTCAGAAGCTTTGAACTTCAAAACCTGGTCAGTGGAGACCTGGTTTTGAATTGAAGGTCTGTTGCTTACTTCCTGTGTTACCTTGGATATGTCATTTCACTGCTCTAGGCCTCTGTATAGTGAGAGGGTTGGACCAGAGCTATATATATACATATATGTGTGTGTGTGTGTGTGTGTGTGTGTGTGTGTATACATACATATATATACATATATATATGTATATATATATAAATATATGTGTATACACACACATATGTACATACACTCATACATACAAACGTGTGTATGTATGTATATGAATCTGTGGCTCTACAGATTGAAGATATCTTAAAGGCTTCTAGATATTTCTGGTGTATTCAGACCACATGTGGAAGTGACTGGAGTGGAAGGCACAGCTCAGGTTTGCTATAGTGGTATTAAGTAAAGATACCTAATACTATAATTGCTTCCATCAGCAGGATTCAAGATATCAAGGCCTCCCCCATTTCATAAAGCCAACCAAAAAAATGATGATTCTGGATGCCCCAAGGCACCTACAACTTCCCCTCATGGATTTTATGAATGACAAGTAAGTTGAAGACTTATGATAGGACAATTAATTCTGGTAACATTGTGGGGAGAAAGAATAGCCATGGAATTCTAAGATTAGGAACTGCAGTAAAACCTTCATGAACCAAAATACTTAGAGGAGGCATTTTGCCATAGCAGATGGAGATCCTCATTCAAGTCATGAAGGACCTGAATTCAATCACCTCCTTTGATATATATGGCTGTATGACCTCAGGGAAGGTGCACTCTCTCAGTACCCACCACCATTGCTCCCCAGCCAGACAATTCTCTTACTAAAATATATTCATTATCTTTCAAGTAACTCATTTAAATTAATCCGCTAACTCCCACTGAGCAATTTAAAAAACACCTCAAGACCTAGCTGCATAGCCAAGCAGAACAGATTCCCATCTTAACCCATTTCTAAAAATGGAGTCAACTTCATATTTTATTTCATTCCTTCCTTGTCTGTCTGGAGGTGAGTGGCCCGTTTCATCTTCATCCTTTTGGACTAGCTTATCATTGCAATGATCAGAGTTCTGAAGTGTTTTGAACTTGTTTTTCTCTGTAGTGTTGTTACTGTGGTATAAATCGTTCTCACGATATTGCTCACTTTGCCTTACATCAATTCAGGCAGTTCTTTAAGTTGATAAGCTGAAAATCAGATACTGATATGAGAGGGTTGAGAGAGTTTCTTACACCAATTAAATCAATTTTACTGAAGGGATGGGGAAGGGATAGGCTGCTAGGTTAACCAAGAATTAACTCATCACTATTCTTTCTTGTTTCAACCCTGTTGCTGAAAGTGAGTGTAAAGCATGAGTCCACTTTCAATCAACTGATGAGAATGTAAGTGCTTACTAGGTACCAGACACTGGGCTAGGAAGTGGGCATACAAAGAAAGGGGGAGGAAAAGCTTTCATGAAATTCAGATTCTAATTTGGGAGACAATATATATGTGTATGTACATAAAAGGTACATGTACTTTAGAGAGGAAAGCACTAAAACCTTGGGGTGGAAATGGAGAAGAAAGGTCTCTTGCAGATTGTGGTGTCTGAGCTGATTCTTGAAGGAAAGAAACCAGGAGACACCTGCCTCCCACGGGCACTAGCTGGGTGGGGCAAGTCAAATTCCCTTCTGTGAGATTTAGTCAAATAGGGGTGATTGTAATAACTGCAATATCAACCATACTGGGTTGTTATGAGGAAAATGTTTTGTAAACCTTAAGACAATAGAGAAATGTGAGGTACATTTATTATATTATAATTATTATGTGGTATCTTTTATATCCCTTTATTGTACTCCATGAGAAGTCTAATAAGTAAGCTCCTTGAAGCCAGGGAAGATATTTAATCTTTGTCTCTCCCCCCATGACCTAGAATGGTACTCTTCATATAGTAGTTTAATAAGTGTCTATTGAATTTAATTTAATACAATAAAAATCCCAGGTAATTGAGAATTCTGGTTAGTTGAGTTTCAGTTCATCAAGGCTTTGCTGTGTTTTATTCTCAGACTTAAGTGTAGGAAATATTATGTACTTTTTAAAAAACAATACATTTTATATCCTTTGTTTTTGTATAACCTAGGTTTCCTAATTTATCCCTCTCTTTTCCCCAACTCCTCCCAAAGACTAATACTTTATATCAAAGAACAAAAAAAAAAAGGAAAAGCAGTCGATCAAAACAAACAATTCTTCAATAAAGCCTGAAAATCATAAGTGATATTCCACACCCATAGTTTCCCATATCTGTAAAGGGGGGAGGGGTACTTTCTCATATCTCTTCTTTGGGACCCAGCTTCGTCATTACAATTTCACAGCATTCAATTCAATTGTCATGTACTTTTAAAAATACATTTTGTTGCTAATATCTTGTTTTCTATATCCCCTTCATATCCCCATGTATCTTTCCTCCTTCCCAACTCCTAAGAAGTCTGCCTTGCAGAGAGCCATCTTAGAACAAATAATAAAAAAGGAAGGTGGGGGAGGGTTCAGCAAAACTAATCAAGATATTGAAAAACTCTGATATTATATGTAGTGTTCCACTCCTATAGCTATCCTGCAAGAAGCAGGGGAAGATGCCTTCTCCTGTCTCTTTGCTCAGGACAAACTTGGCTGTTATAATTCCACAGAATTCATTTTTTTATTTGTTTTGTTGTTACTTTTCTCATTCTCATAGTTGTAGTTGTCATATTTTTGTTTCCTGGATCTGCTTGCTTGACTTTGCATCATTTCATCTAAGTTTTCCCCATGCCCCTCTCTGGTTATCGTTTTCATAAGTCCTTACAGCACAGGAATCTTTCATTGCATTTGTGTATTACAGTTTGTTTAGCTATTCCCCAATTGATGGGCATCTACTTTATGTCCAGTTTCTGGGTGCTGCTAAAAAAGTGCTACTAGGGCAGCTAGGTGGCGCAGTGAATAGAGCACCGGCCCTGAATTCAGAAGTACCTGAGTTCAAATCCGGCCTCAGACACATAATTCTTACTAGCTGTGTGGCCCTGGGCAAGTCACTTAACCCCATTGCCTAGCAAATAAATAAATAAATTAATTAATTAAATTTATGAATAATAAAAATTTCAAAAAATTAAGAAGTGCTACTATGAATATTTTATTGTCTACTTTAAAAAATAAAAGCCGAAGGGGCAGGTAGGTGGCGCAGTGGATAGAGCACCAGCCCTGGATTCAGGAGGACCTGAGTTCAAATCTGGTCTCAGACACAAAACACTTACTAGCTGTGTGACCCAGGGCAAGTCACTTAGCCCCATTGCCTAGCCAACAAAATAAATAAATAAATAAATAATAGCCCACTTAAGTAAGGCCCAAAGGTGAAAGAGACCCACCCCAAAAGAGAGCCAAACTTAAAAGCCCAATTCATACCATAAGAAAAAAAGGACACTTAAAATTTTGCTGTATTTTCTTCTCATAAATAGGAATATTATATGAGAAGTTAAGTTGGCCTTCTTATCTCTCTCTCTGTTCTAGTATAACAGAGCAATGAGGCATTCTGATTCCTTTGATAACCTGGAAGTAACTGAATTCCATGTTCACCACCAGGGGCTGAAGGGTGTTGGGAGCTGTGCTTCAGATATCTAGGGACAGGGAAAGTCCTTGGCAGCAGGTGGCACAGTGGATAGAATAACTGGTCCTGGAGTCAGGAAAACCTAAATTCAAATTCCTCCCTCAGATACTTACTAGCTGTGTGACCCTGGACAGGTCACTTAATTTCTCTCTGCCTCAATTTCCTCAACGTCTTACACTCTGTACCAAAATAAAGTCAAAATGGGTACAGGATTTAGATATAAAGACTGATACTATAAGCAAACTGGAAGAGCAAGGAGTAGTTTACCTTTCAGATCTATGGAGAAGGGAAGAATTTATGACCAAACAAGAGATAGAGAACATTATGAAATGCAAAATAACAATTTTGATTAGTTTTTGCACAAATAAAGCCAATGCATTCAAAATTAGGGAAGCAGAAAACTGGGAAAGGATTTTTATAACCAGTCTCTCTGATAAAGGCCTCATTTCTAAAATGTATAGAGAACTATGTCAAATTTATAAGAATGCAAGTTATTCCCCAATTGATAAATGGTCAAAAGATATGAACAGGAAGTTTTCAGAGGAAAAAACTAAAGCTATCTATAGTAATATGAAAAAATGTTCTAAGTCACTATTGATTAGAGAAATGCAAATCAAAACAGCTTTGAGGTACCACATCATACCTATCAGATTGGCTAATATGACAAAGGAGGAAAATGATAAATGTTGGAGAAGATGTGGGAAAATTGGAACACTAGTGCACTGTTGGTGGAGTTGTGAAGTGATCCAACCATTTTGGAGAGCAATTTGGAACTATGCCCAAAGGGCTATAAAACTGTGCATACCCTTTGACCCAGCAATACCACTTCTAGGGCTGTATCCCAAAGAGATCATAAAAATGGGAAAAGGACTCACATGTACAAAAATATTTATAGAAGCTTTTCCTGTGGTGGCCAAGAATTGGAAATTGAGGGGATGCCCATCAGTTGGGGAATAGCTGTACAAGTTGTGGTATATGAGTGTAATGGAATACTACTGTGCTATAAGAAATGATGAGCAGGCAGACTTCAGAAAAACTTGGAAAGACTTACATGAACTAATGCAGAATGAAATGAGCAGATCCAGGAGAACATTGTACACAGTAACAGCCACATTATGGGATGCCTGACTTTGGTAGACTTGACTCTTCACGGCAATGCAAGAATCTAAGAGAACTCCAAAAGACTCATGATGGAAGATGCTATCCACACCCAGAGAAAGAAGTATGGAATCTGAATGCAGATCAAAGCACACTATTTGCTTTCCTTTCCTTTTCTTTTGTTGTTTTGTTTTATTGCTTCATTCTCGTGGTTCCTCCCATTAGTTCTAATTGTTCTTTACATCATGACTGAGGGGAAAATATGCTTAACATGAATGTATATGTAGAGCCTGTATCAGATTGTGTGCCATTTTGGCTGGGAGGAAAGAAGTGGGAGGGGGAGAAAATTTAAAACTCAGAATCTTATAGAAGTGAATGTTGAAAACTAAAAAGTAATTAATTAATTGTTAAAAAAAAAAGAAAGAAAGAAAAAAGAAAAGAAAAGGAAAGAATCCACAGCCAAAAACTTGCAACATGGGTAAAGAGTTCTGGATTTGGGGAGTTAGAAGACCTGCTTTTGAATTCCAGGTCTATTGCTTATTTCCTGTGTTACTTTAGACATATCATTTCACTGCTGTAGGCCTCTATAAAATGAGGGGGTTGGACCAGAGCTGTCTACATACATACACAAATATGTATGTATGTATATATGTATATGTGTGTGTGTAGCTATATATATATATATATATATATATATATATATATATATATATTCTCATTTGAACACTAGTGCCTGGCATATAATAGGTGCTTAATAAATGCTTATGTCTAGGTGGTATAGAGTTAGGTTAGTTGGTTTGCTGAGTGGTGTGTCAATGATGGAATGTTTTCATTGGCTAAAATGTTAGCACAGATAAGAGTAAGGGATTTGGATACAGAATGCCACATGTTCAAATCCTGACTGATACTATCTATGTGACCCTGGGGAAATCATTTAATCTCTCCAAGCCTTAGCTTTTTCATTTGTAAAATCAGGGTAATAATAATACCTACCTCCCAGGGTTGTTGTGAGAATCAAATGAGATATTATGCATGAAATCGGCTAGGTGGTGCAGTGAATAGAGTGCTGAATTCAAATCCTGTCTCAAATACTTACTAGCTGTGTATCTCTAAGCAAGTCATTTAACCACTGTCAGCCTCAGTTTCCTTTTCCACATAATGGGGACAATAATGACATTCACCTTACAAAGTTGTTGTGAGGATCATATTTATAAAGAACTTTGCAAACCTATATATGGTCACATATGGTAAATGTCAGAATCAGGATTTGAACATGTGAAATCCTGAATCTAACTCGTTTACTCCAGTGCTCATATCCTCTGAGCCAACAGAAATATGCCATCATTAACACAACACTTGAGAAATGTCAGTGTAGACACATTCATATTTTCATCCTGGAAATAATACCTTGCCCAGTGAGCCATGTGAAATGTTAGTTTTCAGAGTTCAGCTGAAAAACATCTAGAGGATCCAGGAAATTTGCTGAGACAAGATCAATTTGAGGGTTATGTTTGTGGAAAGAAAAACCAGGACATTGTTAGGACTTTCTGGTAACTTGTGTCATTAAGTATATGATGATCAGCCACTGGGCTGTTTCTTGCCTTCACTTCTTCCAGGACCAAAAGTCTAATTAATGTAATCCATTGCCTCTTCCAAACAGGTTGATAAACTCAAAATACAAGTCTACAGAAACCTTTCTCAATGAGGACATCAAAGCAGGTTGGATATCTTTTGGAACCTCCTGGCGTAAGAAACACCACCACCACCACCCACAACCGAAAATTGGGAGTTCCCAAGCATGTTTTTTAAATTTTTGGATAGGATCCTCCTCACCATTACCACCCCTCATCCTGAGCAAAATAATCATCACCATCATCATAGCACTAATCATGATCGCTAACATTTATATAGTGCTTTAAAGTTGGTGAAGCACTTTATATCTGTCACCTCACTTTAGTTTCACAACAACCCTCCAAATCAAGTACTATAATTATCCCCATTTTATAGATGAAGAAACTAACAGGATGAGTTTAAGTGACTTATCCAAGGTTGCACAGCCAGTAAGTGTCTGAAGCAGGATTCAAACTCAGATCATCCTGAGTCCAGGTCTTAGCATGTATGCCACCTGGCTGACTCTGCCCTTGTCCTCTATCATTTATCTCTTTCCCTGACCAGCCTACTACTGTATTTCCTGCTTAGGGCCATCCAGATTTTTTAAGGGTCCATCTCATTGTATCTAGGCCTTTCAAGCTGTTTAATTTGGTTGCATCCCACTCATTTCCCCTTCACTGGACCTGTAATTTCATTGCTGAAGGGGGTTCCTCATAAAAACTTCATCTACCAGTATAGACTGGCCTGCTCTGTGATTTGTAGGTTTCAAGAGTTGGCTGGGGTCACAGAAACATTCAGTGACTCCTGATTCCAAGGGCAGTTGCACCACACTGCCTCTTATCACTGCCATAAAAATCAAAGCTTCCCCTTTTAGTGCTCTCCATCATAGCTGAGCCCCAGCAGTTCACTGTGGAGAGGGCTAGCACCATAGGAGAGCCTCGAGCTTCTACCTGGGGTGAAACTCCCTTGGGGAAGACACAAAGCAGCAGACCCTCCAGAGTTGCTAGGTAGGCTTGGTACTCACTTACTGCTTAGATACTGACCTCCATGCCCTTTGGGACCTGGGTAACACTTAGTCTTCTTGGATCATAGGATTCAGAGCTGGAAAGGACAGTAGATACAGTTTAATCCAACCATTCATTTTCTAGACCAGGAACCTGAGACCTAGCAAAGTGAGGTGAGTTGTAGAGGGAGTACGCAGCAGCTGTACCAGTGGACATCCCCTTCTCTGCCTTCTGCCAGATTCCCAGATATTTCTTGGTCTGACTGGCATTGGTAATGGAAAAATGAGAAGATCTGCCTGTAGCTTCAGGCATCATTTTATTCTTGGCCAAATCTTTTGGGAAAAGTCAGCTTCTTGCCTTATGCAAAAGGATGAATCCAAAGTGGTGAAATAATGCCAACTGACACTGTAGTATGCTTTTTCTGGGGTTGGTTTTTTTTTGGGGGGGTGTTCTTTTGGTTTTCACCTGTGATTTTTCATTGGCATACGGAAATCCTAGTATGAAAAGTCCCCTCACCTATTAGGGAGTTGCCTAGGGGTACTAGGAGATTAAATGACCTGATTAGGACCACATAGCTAGCGCAAGTTTGAGACCTGACTTGAACACAGATAGTTCTGATCCCAAGATTGGCTCTTTATCCATTATGCAGCTCTGCCTCTCAATAAAGATTTGTCAAGTGCTTTTCATGTATTACCTAAATTGAGCCTCTTAGTATCCCTGTGAGGTACATACTAGAGGCATTTTTCTTATCCCCATTTTATAGATGAACAAGCCAAAACTCAGAGAGGTGAGTGGGTTGTGCCCATAGTCACCCAGTAGTAAAGATCACAATCTGGATTTGAATATTAACATCCTGAATCCAACTCCAGCACTCTACCCACTGTACTAGGAAGAAGAGCCAGTCTTTGCATAGTGTAGATCAAGTGTTTGGGAGCTGCCCAGGATGACAAACAATTCAGATTTGGCTTAAGCCTTAACTCTTCTCATTATTGGTCCTTATGATAACCATTAACTACCTGTAGGCATTAGTTTTTCGAAAGGAAAAAGAGCCCCATTTATTAGCTTCATGTAGACGGATCTGGTCCAAAGAATGCGGGTCTAAAGGCCTGAACCAGATCCTGCTCTAGTGAATGGACAGTTATTGAGGGTGTTTTAAGAGCAAAAACTGTGAATAGACTGGTGCCTAAGTATAACTGGAACCAACCCATGGAGTGTGCCATAAACATCCTTGAAGCATTCAGAATAGCCCGTGTTTACAACAAGAGAAGAGAAAATGGATGGGCCGAAACAAGGATGGACCTCATGGGGAAAGGTCGGCAGGTCAGATATGAAAGGTACAGTTGGAATAAGAAGACTAATCAATTCATTAGCCTCTGAAACTCAGTCTAGTAGCTAAAGCAATGTTAACATATTCCCATCTCTGGTACATTGTCACTGTTTCTGCTGTGGTTCAGATGATAGCTGTTGCTCCCTGCCTCAACGAAGTGTGGTGATAATCATGATAAGAGCAATCTCACAGTTCTATAGTACAGCACTTTCTATATATGCTTACTACATACTAACTGACCAGTTTATTTTTATGGTGGAACAGATAGCATGCTGGCTATAGAATCCAGAAGATGTGGGTATGAATCCTGCCTCTTACACTTGATAGCTGTGTGAACACAGGCAAGTCCCTTAATCACTTTTAGCCTAAGTTTTCTGTCTGCACAATAGGGATAATAACAGACAGCTAGGTGGCCCAGTGGATAGAAAGCTGGACCTGGAATCAGGAAGATCTGAGATCAAATCAGACCTCAGATATTTACTAGCTGTGTGACCCTGAGTAAGTCCCTTAACTTCTGTTTACCTGTTTCCTCATCAGTAAAATAGGGATAATAATAATAACACCTACCTCCCAGTGTTGTTGTGAGAATCAAATGTGATAATATTTGTGAAGGGCTTTGCAAACCTCATGCTGCCCTATAAGTTATTATTATTATTATCATAGTTATACTAGACAATACCTATTTCATGGTGTTGTTCAGAGAATCAAATGAGATGATATAGATAAAGGGTTTTTTTACCTCAAAGCATCATATAAAAGTCAGTTATCACCATCATTATTAATAATGATAGCTAATATTTATATAGGACCTAATATGTGCCACTAAGTGCTTTATAAATATTAATCTCATTTGACCCTCATGACAGACTTGGGGGTAGGCATTATTATTATTATCCTCATTTTACAGATGGGGAAACTGAGGCAAACAGATTTTTTTTTTTTTTAAGTGACTTGCTCAGGGTCACACAGCTAATAAATGTCTGAGGCCAGATTCAAACTCAGGTCTTCCTAACTCCAGGCCTGATACTCTATTCGCTGTACTGCTTAGCTGCCTCAAGGAAACTCTGTTGTATATGGCTATGGCTTGTTTAACCCATCCAATTTGCCTTAATTAAAAGTGATGACTTCAGTTCTTCTAGTTTTGAATTAACTTTATGTTAGCACTAATGTAAGGAGAACCAGGCACCTAGAATGAGAGCTAGCTAGTTTCCATAATTGATAGAAATAGTTATATAGGCATGATTTCTTTGCATCTATCTCACAGTTGAGTAGGAACCCAACGAGATCCCAGAGACTTCAGCCTTTGTTTGTTGTTAATGCTACCAACCTAAATCAAGCCTGTAGCTTGGCCTGCAAAGAGCATTGGAACTCCAGAGCTCTGAGCTCTGGTCCTGACCCTGCTGCTTATTATCTCTGTGTAAGACACTAAACCTCTCTGTGAAATGACAGGGTTGGATTAGACAATTGTTAAGGTCCCTTCCAGCTCTGATAACTCTATTTCTCTGTACTCAACATATTCTGGACTCTATTTCTATTACTCTATATACCCTGGGATCACTCATTAAAATGAGCCAATGGACTTCTCACAGATTCATACAGTCTCAGAGTTGAGAAGAACTTTAGAGGTCCTCTAGTCCATCAGCTATCATGGATGACCTCTTCCTATGATATACCTTAAAGTGATCATCCAAGCTCTACTTAAGCTCTACTAGTGATGAGGAGAAACTCACAATCCAGTTCATTTTCAGACTCCTTTGATTAATTAGAATTTCTTCCCCCTATTAAACAATATCCACCACACTAACTTCTACCTACCGATTCTGATTCTCCCCTCTGAAATTTAATCCTTGGTCCACAGGACAGTCCTTCAAATATCTGAAGACAGCAGTTATGCCTCTCTAAAATATTTCTTCTCTAGGTGAAGCCACCCTAATGGTTTCAGTAGATACTCACATGAGGCTTCTCATCTTCCTGACTAGCTTCTCTGGGTCATTTCAACTCATCCCTCGTCCAGAACCGAGCCACAATACTACAAGTGCAGCCCAGTCAAGTACAGGATAATGAACATCTGTCTTGTTCTGGACGTGATACTTCCTTAATAAGTAGCCTCTGCTTGCATTATCATGTCACACAGAATTCAGGCATACAAATCCTTTAGAAGTTCAAGCAGATGTCATGGAACTTCAGAATTGTAAGGGACCTCAGAAGTCATCCAGTTCAACCAGTATCTGAGCAGGAATCCCTTCAACTATATCCTCCACAAGTGGTCATCCAGACCCTGCTTGAAGTCTGCCAGTGATGTGAACTCACTATTTTATTCCTTTATGTATTGAAGAGTTTGTTTGCATCAACCTTTGGTATACTTTTTCCCTTTTCTTTCCTTTCCTTTCCTTTTCTTTTTTTAGGACTAGGTCTGCCTATCTCCCCCAGCCTGGAAGTGCAGCATCCACTCATGAGCCCAGTCCCACTGCTGATTCTTATGGGAGCTCTGACCTGCCACATTTCTGACTTAGACCAGTCTGCCCATACTCAGGCAGCCTGGTAGTCCCTTGCTTCCAGGGGGTCATCATATTGATGCCAGACTTGGTGAGGATACATCATCAGCTTTAGCCCTACTACCATTGAGAACTCCCAAGCTCAAGTGACCCCCAGCCTCAGCCTCCCGTAGTGCAAATCACAGGAGTACAATAGCTGGCTAGAATCATATTTCAGATGTGCTGGGCTAGCTTTCTGAAGGACCGGTGAAATGAATCATTCTGTAAAGGAAAGAATCCTTTTCTAATGTCCATAATTTACTCTCTCTTTTGAAATATTAACTCATAATATCTAGAATTTTCTTACAGGACAGCACACCTGGAAGTATGCCCCTTAAAAAAATCATCTGGGAAATTGAATTTTAGTTTCCAGTTGACTTTTTTTCTGCTTTCTGGGATGCTTTAATCTGCGTTTCTCATCTGTCTTCAATGAGCAGTGGCTCCTACTACTTCGGTTTCAGGCTTATCAGTTGTATCTTTTTCCTATGCTTCATCATCCACTGTGTACCCAACCTTTTTGAAAAGCAGATGAGATCATTAAACAAAACTATAAATGCTCAGGGATTGAAGGTAGGGGAACTTTGCCCTGAATCAAGATTCTCTTTATAAAGTGGAACAAGCCTTCTGAAATGTAAATAATCCCTACCATCAGCTCTGCCCTTCTCCTTCCACAAGCTTCTCAAACCACCCCTTGTTTATCTCTTTTTATTATTTAGGGTATTAGTCAGAGTGTGTTCAATCAACGTTTGTCATTATGGGGCATGGATGATGGAAATTCATAGCTCATTTATGTAGAAAGGGGAGAACTAATCCCATAACCAACTTTATGAGATTTCAGAGTATGGGCCATTTCTAGTTCCTTAACAAACTAGAGGATTCCCCAGGCAAACTAATGAGGCTACTGGGCACGCAGTCAGAAAAACTTCATACTAGGCTTTGGATTTTAGCTTTATTTCCCACCACCATTTTCCCTAGAGCAAGACCAGAATAGACTCATGAGTCTATTCATTCCTCTTCAGTCCATGGGTGGAGCCCCTAATGGGCAGCTAGGTAACACAGTAGATAGAACCCTGGGCTTAGAATCAGGAAGACTCATCTTCAGGAGTTCAAATCTGGTCTCAAATGTTTGCTAGCTATGTGACCTTGAGCAAGTAATTTAACCCTGTTTGCCTCAGTTTCCTCATCTGTATAATGAGCTGGAGAAGAAAATGGCAGTATGTTTGCCAAGAAAACTCCAGATGGGATTCACAAAGAGTTGGACATGACTGAAACAACTGAACAAAAACGGAAGTCCTAATAAGCAGTAAACCCACCAAATGGTAGGGAAAGTGAGGTGAAGCCTGGCTAATTAATGAAATAATCAGATATTGAGTTTACTAGACTTAATTGTGGGGAGGGGAGCAAGCACTTATTAAATACCCTCTTAAAGTGCTGGCTGCTGAGGGGCAGCTAGGTGGTGCAGTGGATAGAGCACTGGATCAGAAGGATCTGAGTTCAAATCCCGCCTCATATATATAAAACACTCATTAGCTGTGTGACTCTGGGCAAGTCACGTAATTCCAATTGCCTCACACACAAAAAAAAGTGCTAGATGCTGTGCTAAGTGCTTTGCAAATACTCTCTCTCCCTAATTCCTGCCTCCAGTCAGTTGCATAAAATAGCCATTTAGTACATGTTTCTTTTTTATTTTTAGGCAATTGGGGTTAAGTGACTTTCCCAGGGTCACACAGCTAGTATCAAGTCTTTGGTCTGAGGCCGTATTTGAACTCAGGTCCTCCTAACTTCAGGGCCGGTACTTTATCCATTGTGCCACCTAGCTGCCCCTTTAGTAAATGTTTATTGAAGTAAATGTCTGATTCAGAGAAATCTGGGTATCTTCCCCTCCCCCCACAAAAAAAAGCTTAAAAATCTTCCCAGGTTCATTCATTCCTTCTACTTTTCTCTCCTTTAGAAAATGTTAAGTACAGACTGCCAATGAGGGCCATCTGGGGTCCCAAAAAACCCTTACAGACACTATATACTGACCTTATAACATCCTCCAAGACTCCAACTTACAAAAAAGAATCTCTTCCAGATCCGAAGAATACGTGGGCAGAATTCAACATCAACAAGATTCCTAAGCACAGTAAATACTACTGATTCACTGTATCACTGCTGCCCTCTTCTCATATCTTCACCTTCCCCCACACCCCAGCTTGACCAAGAAGGAAGGCTCTTTTGCATTCCTTCCTGACGAAGATCTTTTGTTCCTACTATTATGTCTACCACCTATTTCCTAATAATATAATAGCTTACTTTTTAGGTTTATAAATACAGTTGGTTAACGGAACATTGAAAGTGCTTCTCATTTATCTTCAGTTAGATTCCAATTAGTAAAAGGGTTTCCAATTCCAGGTTGTGAGTTGTCCAAGGATATTTTCTCCATCACTCCTTGAAGGTCTAGAAATCCCATCTGGTGCTCAGCCTGTAAAAAAATGAGAGAGAGAGAGAGAGATAAAAGCCATCTGTACCTCCCCTTTGCTTCCTCCCGGCAGTTGGGTGGCAAAGGGGAGATAGTACTAGATTTGGAATCAGGAAGACCTGCGTCCAAATTCTACCTCATACACTTATTAGCTGTGTGATCTTGGACAAGTCATTTAACTTCTCTTAAGCTTCTGTTTTCTGATCTGTAAAATGAGGATCATAATAGCACCTTTCTCATAGAGTTATTTTAAGGATTAAATGAGTTAATATGTGTATAGCACTTTGCAAACTTTAAAGCAAGTGCTATACAAACGTGAGCTATTATCATTATGTTGACTTTGGCCCAAAGATACTGTGATTCAAATGAGTGACAAATGTCAAGTGATTAATTACCATAACCCAGGTTCATTTTATGGCCCTCAACGGCCATCTTTTCATAAGGAGCACACTCAACAGACAAGATGTATATGTGGGTGAGAACCGTGCATTCCAGATTAAATGGTGGCTAAAATAGAGATGGAATGGGATGGGGTTGTTGGAAGGTTCCTGGTTGAGGAATGTAATCCTAACAGAATCAAAGGATCTTAGAGTGTCAAGAGACAGCAAAGGTCATGAATGTGTTCCAAACTAAGCAGAAACCATCTCCATATCCTCTCCAAACAGGTATCCGCCTCCATACCTCCAGTAATGGAGAATTTACTCTCTCCTGAGGCAAGCCATGTACCACCTTGAAGAAGCTCTAATTATGAGAGTTTTACTTATATCAGTGCAGAGTCTGCCTTTGGGAAACATCCACCCATTGCCACCAGTTCTGCCATCTGCAGCCAAGCAGAATAAATCTAACCCCTTTTCCACATGACAAGCTAGATATTTAGTCTGGAGAAAAGAAGATTCCAGAGAATCATGACTGCTGTCTAGAAGTATTTGAAGGGCTGTCCCGTGAACTAGGAATTAGATTTGTTTGGTTTGGCCCCCGAGGCAGAACCAGCGGCAATGAGTAGAAACTGAAAAGAAAAAAATTCAGGTTTGATGCAAGTCAGAACTTGCTAAGGACTCCAGCTATCCCACAGCGAAATGGGCTGGTTCCAGACAAAGCCCACCCTCCCTCATGGAGTTCTTTAAGCAAACGTAGCATGTCTACTTCTCAACTATCAATCAATCAATCTACTCTCATTTATTAAACATTGGTGTTGGTCCTTCATTCTGGAAGAGGACCCATGACATCAGGAGAGTGATATCTTAACTTGCAAGTGGATTGGATTTAAATGAGGCAGGGCTGTGCAAAGTTATCAGCCTCACTCTCTCTTCCAGAGTCATCCCAGTCCAGTAGCAAGACATGGGTCAGAATGACTAGCAATGACCCAGCATTTGTTAAACACATTCTATGTGGCAGTCATTGTGCTAGATGAAATGGAACGGTCTCTTACTTGGTTTTGTGTAATATAGAATAAATCTTTCCTTTCAGTTCTAGCTCCCTGGTCTTGGAGTCAGGGAAGACCTGAGTTCAAATCCTGACTCAGACACTAGCTGTGTGACCCTGGGTGAGTCACTTAATTTTTGTGTGCCTCAGTTTCCTCAACTGTAAAATGGGGATAATAATAGCATCAACCTTATAGGGCTGTTGTGAGGACCAAGTGAGATAATACTTGTAAAGTGCTTTGCAGACTTTAAAGTGCTATATAAATGCTGGCCATTATTAATAATAACTAGCATTTATATAGCACCTGCTATGTGTCAGGCACTGTGCTCAGTGCTTTATAATTATAACCTGATTTGATTCTTACAACAAACCTGGGAGTTAGGTGCTATTATAATTCCTATTTTATAGTTAAGGAAACTGAGGCAAACAGCGGTTAAGTGACTTGTTAAGGTCACACAACTAGTAAGGGTCTGAGGCCTACTTTGAATTCAGATCTTCCAGTGTCCGGGCCCAGTGCTCTATCCCACATTCCCCTCAGCTGCCTGCTATTTTTATTAGCTTAGATGGCAGTCTCCGGCCCTCTCAACATGTCTCTTATCACCTTGGTTACCGTCCTCTAGACATGAACCAATTTACAAATATCCCTCTGGCCTCCAGAAATGAACACAGTGCTCCAAACATAGTCTGACCAGGGCAAAGTACAGTACAGGAGGAGATCACCTCCTTTATTCTGGTCCCCGTTCCTTCCTCTCTTAATACAGCCTAAGATCATATCAGTTTTTCCAGGCTGCCAGAGCTCCTCATTCCTGGTAGGTTATCTCAGGGAATGATGCACCTCCACGCAAAGCACCCAGGACAGACAGAACAGGGAGATTGTTAGTCAAATTAATACTTTCCCCCCCTTTAAATGATCATTTCTTGAATAAGAGCCATTCCACAAATAATAAATGGTCAAAGCAATATGAATGAGTTGTTTTCTAAGGAGGAGATTCAAGATATTAATAGCTATATGAAAAAGTGCTCCAAATCACTAACAATTATTTAAATGCAAATTAAAGCAACTCTGAGGTTCTACTTCATACCTATCATATTGGCAATGCTGACCAAAAAAAAACAAAACAAAACAAGAAAATGAGAAATTCTGAGGGGCTGCAGGAAAACAAGCACATTAATGTCCTGCTGGTGGAGGTATGAATTGGTCAGTCCATTCTGGAAAGTAATTTGGGAACTATGCCCCAAAGGTTACTAAACCCTACATACAGTTTGTTCAAATGATAACACAATTAGGCCTATGCCCTAAAAATTTTTTTTAAAAAAAGGAAAATGATCCCTATATATGAAAAGTATTTATAGTAGTTCTTTTGTGGTGGCAAAGAAATGAAAATTAAAGGGTACCCATCAATTAGGAATGGCTAGATAAATTATAGTGTGTCAATGTAATGGAATAGTATTGTGCTATAAGAAATGATGAAGGGGATAATTTCAGAGGAAGCTGGAAAGACTTTTATGAACTGAAGCAGAGGTGAGTAGAAGCAAAGCAAACAAAAAACAAAACAAAAAAACCTCAAACAATGTGTACAATAACAGCATTGTAAAAACAACTTTGAATGACTTAAGAACTCTGATCAATGCAATGATAAATCAGGATTACAGAGGACTGGTGATGAAGAGAAGTGATGAAATCAAGGTGCAGATTAAAATGTATATATAAAGCCAAAGTGGAAATTTGTTTTGCTTGACTCTCTACATTTGTTGCAAGGGTTTTTTTTCCCCCTTTAAATGGGAGGAGGGGAAGAAGAGGGAAAGAAAATCAATTTCTTCCATTCAAAAAAAGTGGAATTAAAATTTATAAACCAAATAGTCACTTATTACTTATCTATGCATCTTGTTTGCCCCAGTAGAATGTAAACTCTTTTAGGGCAAGAACTGTGTTGTGCTTGTCTCTCTATTCCCAGTGCCTAGCCCTGTGCCTTCCACATAAAAGCTCCTTTAAAACATTTGGTGAAATTCTCAAAGACCCATGATGAAAAATGCTATCTACCTCCAGAGGGAAAACTGATGAAGTCTAAGTGCAAACAAGCATTTTTTTTCCACTTTCTTTATTTTTCTTGGGTTTTTTTGACAAGGTGGCTAATATGGAAATATGTTTTGCATTACTTCACATATTTAATTGCTATATTGCTTGCCTTCTCAGGGGAAGGGCTGGAGGAAGGAAGAAAATTTGGAACCTTTAATTTTTTTAAAATGAACATTAAAAATAAAGAAATAATGAATTTTTAAAAAAATGAATCCATGATCTACCCCTCCTTCCAAATTTTCTGAATTGAATGGAATGGAATTGATCAACTTCTAGAAACTAGACATGGCTAGGAATGTATTGTCCCCAGACAAGTTCTCAGTAGTCATAGCTCAAATACTCAATGGATCTGTGATCTTATAGATGTGGCTCTTCCTTCCAGTGATACAGATAGAAACACCCCACCCCACTCCACTCCCCAGGCCTGCTCATCCTGCGTGACTCTAGTCACTCCCACAATTAAGCCAATTGGAATACACATAAAAGAATTCAGTGGTGCTTCTGCCTGTCTCGGTGCTAATGGCCCTACTACTAAACTGGTAACTGGGCCACACTCATTTGGCCGTTTGTTCTTGTAGTGGGCAAAGTTAAAAGGGACAGGGAGAGGAGAGGGAATACTAGTGGCTGACAAATAATGGAGATGGGAGTTTTCTTGGGTCTTGATATTGAGCACACATACAATACAATGAACTGGGATCCCTTCGATATGAAAATACTCTTTATAAGGGCAGATAGCAGCCCATTCACACCTCTTCACTCTATGCAATTCTTGTCTACATTGTTTTATTGATCCTCCAGAGGAGCTCTACAAAACGTGCCAGTGGAGTTTCTCCAAATCTCATCAAGAAGACCAAACTATAACAACGTGTAAACTAATATGTTCGATATAACTAATGCATGATAAGGTATATAAAATATAACAAATATGTAATAGTAGGTATACTAGTATATAAATCCTGACTAATATGTGATAGGTTATATAAGCATATAAATTAATATGTAAAGCAATGTATGATAAGGTGTATAATATATAACAAATAATATATAACTGTTTAATGAACTTGTCCTAATTAATTGTAATTATTGGAAATAATGCTAGTATAACAGAATTATGAGGCAAAAACTTTTAATATAATATCTTTAAAAGAAAAAAGGAGTGCCCAAAGTAAGAATATTGCAATGCATTTCCAGCCTTACCTAATCAAGAGAGTGCCCTGACAGGCCAACACAAGGGAGTCCTCTCTGTTTTACCCATATATTCCTAATAGTGGTGATGGAAACATAAGGATCCCATAATGTTATGGCCCTGTCCATTAAGATCATCCAATTCCCTTTATGGACCTTATGCCCATCAAGAAGGCTTCAAATCTTAGTTTCATTTCCCGAGTGGACATCTCTGCTTGGAAAAGAAAGAATCTATTGACCAAATGATATAAGTATTTTGGTCACTTAGCAACTGTATTTCTCATTACAAACTAATAAATCACATTCTGATTTACCAACCAATCTCTTGTGAGCTTGGTTTGCGAGGGGCTGTGTCCCAAACCTTGGTTCCTCTTGGGTGAACTGATGAAATGGAGCCTTTGAGCATAGGAAGCTGATGGACCTTCAGGGAGCAGCCTCTTCTCCTTTTAGCACCTTTTAACCCCACTAGTGCCCTGGGGAGTGGTTTCCCTAAGTTTAAAATGACTCCTCTGCTGTAAAGTTGCTCTATATTCTGAACTCACTGTCATCACTTTTTGTCACTGTTTTTTTTTTAACTTGTAAATGTTCCAGTGGATTCCACTTGATTATTCCCAGCCACTAGTAAATGGAAGGCATCATCTAACACATTCCAAAAATCCTTCCAAGACAATTATAGCTCCTGCTTACAAAGGGCTTGAAGGTCTACAGAATGCTTTGTGGGCCACAGCTTTGTGAGGTAGGCTCCCATTTAACAAACAAGAAGCTAAGTTACTTGTACAAAGTTGCACACCCAGGAAGAGTAGAGGTTTGGACTTGAACCCAGGCCTCCTGACTCTAACTAAGGCTTGGGCTCTTTGTACCAGATTACACACAATGCCTTCTTGCAGACCTCGGATGGCTAAATTGAAACACTGGGATCTCTTTAACTATTCTATAAATGGTGGGGTTGGGGTTGGGCGGTGATCTTCCTCCAGTAAGTTTCAGAAATGAAGTAAAGCTAACTATTCCCAAAGGAAAGCTATGGCAGTTAATTGTTTGTGCTATGACCTTACTGTGCCCCAAATGAAAACTTTATTTTGTGTCGTCTTACGTCATTCTCTAGTTGATTCACAGACATAATAAGTTCACTCTCCAACAAAAGTTACATAGGCGAGGGAATGTGCACTATTTACTTATTTTGTATTTCCCGTAGGATCTAACAGGGCATACACTAGATGTGGTTATAGCTTGTCAGAACCAGAAAGGACTTCAAAGACCGTCTAGTCCAAGTCCTAAGTGGTGAAGTAGATTTCGGGGCCTGAGCTTAGGAAGACTAGTGTTCATGAGATCAAATCTGACCTCAGACATTTACTAGCAGTGTGACCCTGGGCAAGTCACTTAACTCTGTTGGCCTCAGTTTCCTTATTTGTAAAAAGAGCTAGAGGAGGAAAGGGCAAACCATCTTTGCCAAGAAAACCCCAAATGCGGTCACAAAGTATCAAACAGTACTGAAACACTGAACAATAACAACAAAATCCCAGAGCTATCCTTTCTCCCCAGTTTGTTAACCCACTTTCTGTCTTTGAATTACTTCCTATTTCTCTTTGTGGAGGTTGTAAATCATCCCCCTCCCCCAGCAGAATGTCAACTTCCTGAGAGAACAAGAACTCTTTTTTTTTAAAATGAAGAGCCATTTAGCACATTACTTTACAATACAGTAGTAACTGATTAACTGAAATATCAGTTTAACTCATAGAGTCTTGCAGATGAGATTGTAAAGGGAAAAAAAATCAAAGAATTTTAAATTGGAATGGATTGTGAAGATCATTCAGACCAAGGTCCTCATTTAACAGATGAGGCATTTGAGGCCCAGAGAGGTGGAAGGGGTCCGTAATCATTTAAGTGGTAACTAATAAGGCCAGGATTCAAGCCCAAGTCCTCTGACTCCAAATACAATGGGCAGAAGTACATCATATTGCTACGTGCCCAATAGTATACTTAGTACATATATGGCGTATGATTGCAGCTAGGTGGCACTATAGTGGATAGAGCACTGGGGCCTGAAGACTTATCTTCCAGAGTTCAAATCCAGCCTCATTCACTTACTAGCTGTGTGACCCTGGGCAAGTCACTTAAGCCTGTTTGCCTCAGTTTCCTCACTTATGAAAATGAACTGAAGGAAATGGCAAACCACTCCAGTATCTCTGCCAAAAAAAACTCAAATGGGGTCACAAAGCATTGGACACAACTGAAAAATGACTGAACAAGCATGTAATACCTAGTTCACACATGATATGCATTACTATATGTAGTATACTGATTGCTCTATGGGATATATATATATATATATATATATATATATATATATATATATATATATATATATAGGGGATCCTGCCTTTGATGAACATATAAATCTAAATTGGGAAGATAAAACATACCTGTATACATATGCAAATTAAGAGTCCAATTACAGGCCAAAATCAATAAATTATGAACTGACCACCACAGATGATTCCTCTAAAGACTTTGTTCACATCAACTGATAGCCTTATCCTACTAAAAGAAAGAAATCCTAATTTAGAACTAGAAGGTCCCTTAGAAGTCATTGAGTACACCTCCATTGTCACTTTACAAATGAGGAAGCTAAGAGCCCTGTAAGGTGAAATTAGGGGGCAGCTAGGTGGCTCAGTGGATGGAACTTTGGGCCTGGCATGAGGAAAACCTAAGTTCAAATCCAGCCTCAGCCACTCATTAACTGTGTGACCCTGGGCAAATCATTTAACCTCTATTTGCCTTAATCTGCTAGAGAAGGAAATGGCAAACCACTCTAGTATCTTTGCCAAGAAAACCCACAGACAATATGGTCCATGGGGTCATGAAGGGTCGGAAACCACTGAAAAACAAAAGTGATATTACTTGTCCTAGGTCACAGGGGGTGTGACAGCCTCGGGGATTCACTCATACCCTTTGATCTCAGTGAAGTTCAGCAGTTCAAATTGACCCAAGTCCGTTGCTCTCCCCATGATGCTACACTGCCTCTGACTAAACTGCTTCTTACTTCAGCCCTTCCTGAACTGAGCCTTAAGCCAATGACATGGAGGACCCTCGATTATAGCCATAACTCAGTATCTCTGCCAAGAAAACCCCAAATGGGGTCACAAAGAGTCAGACACAATTGAACAACAACAATAACAGGGTGGGGTGGGGTGGGGAAGCACACAGTCACCAAGTCAGCACCCATCGTGGGAATATACTCATTCCAGACCTGCAGCAATTTGTCTCTATAGTATCAACAGATCTTTTGATAGAAAAAGAGGCATTAAAATATATACTTTCTAAATGAATGGTAAGCTCTACAGAGCCCATGCCAAGTATCATGACAAGAGTTTTTCCCATACTGGGGTCATACTTTAGCAGGTCCTGGATCCCTTCTCTCCGGTGATCTCCACTATGGCAGTGGAGGTTCACAGTGTCCCTCTTCTAGCATCCTGTCATGTGTTCTATAGTGTCCAAGCAATGCTCCTGGATCACATAGGGTGATACTAAGGATGCTCTTTACTTATCTAGCTGGGGTTAGAGCTGTCCACAAAGGAGAGGGAAAGAGAGAGACAGAGACTCGCAGAGAGAGGGAGGAAGGGAGGGGGAGACAGAGAGAGAAGGAAAGGATGAAAGAGGGAGGGAGAGAATTAGGGGGAAGAGAGAGAGAGAGGGCCAGTGAGAGCAAGAACAAGTGGAAGAGACAGAGATATAGAGAAAGAACTAGAGAGAGCATTTGTTATGTGCTTAAGAGCCAGGCATTGTGCTAAGTTCTGAGAACATAAATACAAGCAAAAAGAAAAAGTCAAGGAGTTGACATTCTAGTGGGGGAAGACAGTAAAACTATTAAAAAGGAGCTAGCAAGGGTCTGTGGGGAAGACAAGTGGTTGGAGAAGGTCCCCACTTGGGGGCAAGGTGGAGAAGTGGTCCAAGGAGGTATGGGCTGGTTCCAGTTGCCAGAGAGCATGGCTGGCATTCCACCTTCCTCAAATGGCAGTTGGGGGAAGGGGGGGACTCACACAATAGGACACCAGCCCATGCAGCTCAGCCAGGTGGAAAGTTTGGGGCACTCCCAACCTTTTATCCTTGGAGCTCTTCCCTTGATGTTTCTTTCCCTAAACCAGTATTTGAAACTCCTATAGCACAAACCACAATGGCCTTTCCATTTCTGCCTCTCCCAGGGGCACTTCCTAGTTGTCCGAGGAATGACCGAACACAGGCCAGTTAGTCCTAAATTTACTCTCCTTGAGGACTTGAGCGGAATTTTCAATTCATCCACTTTTCAAGGCTATGCACTAGTCCAATGTCAGGATGGTTCTGAGACTTTAGTAGTTCTGAGGTATGGATGACTCCCCCCAGATTTGAATCTAGGATTTGTTGTCTTATTGGGGTGTGTGGGGGTGTGTGTGTGAGTGTGTGTGTGTGTGTGTGTGTGTGTGTGTGTGTGTGTGTTTTAACCAAATCTGTGTTTTCATTCATGTAGGGAACTTACCAGGAAACTCACTCTACCAGTGCACATCAGCACTTCCTACTCAATTCATAGTTTTAGAGTTTCCTGAGACATTGAGAGGTTAAGTGTCCTGCCCAGGGCTATACAGCCAATAGGTATCAGAAACATGACTTGAAGCCAGGTCTTTCAGACCCCAAGGCTACCTGTCTCTCCACAACCCTTACTGCCTCTCTTATACCATTTTCAGAAAGCAATTTGGGGACTCAATCAATCCTCAATCAGCTGACAAGCATTTACTAATCTCTTGCCAGGTGATAAATTGAGGGAATACAAAGACAAAAGCCACACAGTTCCTGCTTTCAAATATTTTGCATTCTAATTGTGGGAGGGAGCCTAAGGAGAGTGGGGATACAACATTCACATATAAGGTTTTAAGTTTTGAAAACTTTTAGAATAGGTATAAAGTGGTCTTGGGGTGGGGGGAGGGAATGAGGTAGTCTTTTCAAGGTAACAGCACTGAGTCCTAAAGGCAACCAAGTATTTACAAGAGAGGGAAAAAGGGAGGGCATGCCAGGCATAAGGAACAGCCAATGCAAAGGCACAGAGTCCTGAGATGACATGTCACTTGCAAGGAACAGCAAGACTGCCTAATGACTATTTGTTGAATCAGATTCAATGACCAGATGGGGAAACTGTGACATGCATATATATTACCCATCCCTCTGATCCCTCTTGTACTTTGAGGAATCTTTGGCAAGGCATGTGAAATCTTGGGTCAGTGAATTAGAGAAAAGTGAGCCAGGCTCAGGCAGCTGGTCTTTGTTATTTCCAAGAAAACTTGTTTCTTAATTGTAGAGAACTCTGGCCTATTTGGCTCAAGGTTGTAACTCAGCAGGAATGTGGAGTTTCAGGGAAGTTTAAGTCCTCTGATTTGGAGTATGTTGCCTTGGAACACGAAATAAGTTAGAAAACAGATCGTGCTTTTTGTCTCAGAGATAGGGTTATGCCAGGATTAGCAAGTGCCTAGGACATGTGTACTTGGGATATTATTAAAAGGAGCAAAAGATGTATTTGTCATTTACAAAAATATCTTTAGCTGATTTATTTAATAATAGTGAAAAACTTATAACATTGTTCATATCCAACAATTAGGTTGAACAGAATAAATTGTGTCATAGCAACATCATTTCATATTGTACCATTAACATGATAAATGAAGAATACAAATAAATGTGAAGAGACTTATATGAAGTGATACAAAGTAAAGTTAGTGAAAATCAAAAATAACACTCCCCTTGACTGTTTCCTCATCTTTAAAATGAAGAGGATTAGATTTGTGGTCCTCACAGCATGTTCCATGGATCCTTTGGGGTCCTGAGACCTTTCCAGAAAAGCTAAAAAGTAAAAATATTTTTATAATAATACTAAGATGTTATTTGTCTATTAACATATTCCTCCTTTTTCCAACTATGTAACTATGAAAGTCTGAATTTTCTTCCCATACTTCAAACAAAATAACATCACAATAAATTGAATGTGGAGGAAGATAAGAGAAGAAAGCTGTCTTGTATTCAGCCAAATATTAAAGAGATTTGCAAAAGTATATAAAACAATGCTGCTGTCCTACTAATTTTTTTGTTTCAGAAAATAATAGTTATTTTTCATAAAAATATGTTATCTTAACATGAGGTAGATTTATTATTGTTGTTTTAAGTGAATTAATAAACATTTTAAAATTTTAGCAGTTTTAATTTCTAATATAATTAATATTGATAGATACAGCCACATGAAGAAAAGCTCTTCGATAATTTTTCAGAGTGTAAAGGAGTCTTGAGACCAAAGTTTGACAACCGCTGATGTAAGCTATGGCAACTTATCTTTTCCCCCATTATCTCCCTCTACTCCCCCTTCTGTCCCCCAAAATAAAACTTCTCAAGAGCCTGAATTTTGCAACATAGTTTGCAAACAATACTGTTGGAATTCAGAAATTGGTTTGAGGAAGGAAAGGAGAGAGAAGAAAGAAAAGAAAGGGACAGTGTTTCACCATCAACCTGGCAGAGCCAATCAATTTTTATTGTTCTGCACTGGCTGCCTTCTTCTATCAGATCATCCATGAATAAGATCAATTGAGCTTCAGCTTTAATGACGAGAGCTCTCCAACAACAAATTACGTTGCGATTCACCTCATCTGTAGCCATTACCTTGTATTGAGTCTTCTTTGAGACCACAAGAACTTGACCCGCCCCCAACTCTTTTTTTAAAACCACTGAAATTAAATCCTGAAAGAAAAAAAAATTGTTATTGCTATTAAAAAGAAACTTTTGTTCTTTGTTGCCCAAATGTCAATAGTCTTGAGTTCATGTTTTGTTTGGTGATGTAGCATGTTGAAAACCTCCAGCTTGTTGGTTGGACACCATGTGGAGGATTTGCTATCATCCGTAGACAATAGTTGCACAATTTGAGAAGGCATGAATGTATTTGATCTTTACTGTTGAAGGTGCTTAAAACACTGGGGAAATCACAGGTGCATCAAAGTATCCAGGTGTGGGGGATGAGGTAAGGAATTGCCAAATCCACCATCTGTAAATTTTTTGAGAGTTTTGTTAAATTGATAACAGAACTGTTTAAAGAAATGAAAGCTACTTTGGAAAGCTAATGGACATTTCCAAGTTTGAAAGCAGGGAAACTCTTGAGTCCCAAGGCTTTTAGACCCAAAGTCTATTGGGTCCTGCCCCAAATAATTTTTTCTCATCCCACTGGATGCCAAGACAGTTCTTCTATTACCTCTTTCCATTTTGAGCCAAGGCTTCCTCTATCGACTTCCCTGCCCCCTGGAGACCCAAACTGCTCCCGAATATTATTGAGCACTGGGCTGTTGTTCTAATAGCCATGCGTTTACTACGCTGCTTTCCACAAGTACATCCCTAGCACTACCACTCAGAGCACCCCAGAAGGAAGATGACGACCTTCCATCTGGAAATCAGATTTTTCTTCAGAAAGCACCTTCACGTCTATAATCTCATTAGGTCCTCTCAGTCAGTGGTTGTTGTTTTGTTTTTTTTTAATTTAAATTATAAAGTGGTTATATGTCATATGTATTTTCAATTCTAATTCCACTACCAAAGCCAGCCAGGCTTCCACAGATGCCTCATCCTATATGTGTTGTTGTGTGGCCTTCGTTTTTGAAGAGGACCAAGAGCACCACAGTGTTAGGGTACAATAATGGATGATCAGCGATGACTTGCTGGTGAATTGGATGTATGTAAGGCAGAGTTGTACAAAATTGTGAGCCTCACTCTCTCTTCCAGAGTCATCAAAGTCCAGTGTGAAGACTTGTAAATCAGGACAACTGGTAATGGCCTGAGATGCAGTGGATGACCTGGGCATCTTTGTTGTCTGCCCAAGCTGTAAGTGTCGGTTTCAGCCACCTTCGTGGACTTTGGAACAAATTGTTCCCATCCACCCATTCTACTGGGGGAAGTCTTTGTGTGCTTGAGATACTCACTGATGGTTTTGAGGCCTGTTTAGTCCTGGTTGAGCTCATCTGCTGAAATGGTCTTATCAGGGTGTGGCTGTTGTGCATGCTACAGCTTCTCGGAGGCACAGAAGAGAGAAG